TAAAAAATAGATATAATTATAAAATTTGGGGTCCTTACCTCATTTTCAGGGTGCAGTCACAATTTTTATTTTACTTTATTTTATCCCCAGAAATATCTGCTTATTTTATATAATTATATTTTATAAACCCAAATTATTTCCCCAGTGTGGTCAATCACGACCACTTTTTTCGCTGTCCCGCCAAACTCCGGTAACCCACTCAAAAAAACCGACTATACTCGGACAAAATATTGGAGAAGGTGAGTCATATGCATGATCAACACTGTTGTCTATGAATGAAAATTCCGACAGAGTTAGCATAGGCGGCGTATCAAATACCAAATTATTATTTATTAGGTTTTTGATAGTTTTCAAGAAATGAATATATTTTTTCCCTAATGACTTCGTTATCTGTGTTTAATGGTTTTAAAATGTGTTTCAAGTCAATAAACGACAGACGGGTTACAGATTGAATATTGTCAGCACAGGCACAAAGACAGTTGAAAACTAACTTTCCACGAAGTTAGATTTGTATCGCTTTATCTATTTACGATAATTATTTTATATTTTATAAACACTTTTTTGTAGAAGTGCTCTTTTCTGATATACGAGTAGGTGTTCATGTTTGTGACTTACAATTTGGTAGTGGTAGTGCATATTCGAAGAGTTATATTTATTGTGTAGTATATTAGGTAGGTACTTTAAAAGTTTATTAAATAGTAAAATATTGGTGTCTATAAATTTAATAAAAACAATTTAATAGTAGAATTATATTGTTACAATAGTATTGGATTCAGAGGCGGGTCCAAGTTAAACCCAATTACGTCGGCGAAAGCCCTTATCAAAGGATGAAAAGAACAGTATATTATAGAAAGTGTATGATGGGCTGAAACAGACACTTCCTACAAATGAAGCTGTAAACCGCAGTTCTTTTTTAACTGGAGTATCTGTTTCAACAATTGAACGTATTGTACGCGAAAAGACAAAAAAAGGGCTCCTTAGAAGCCCCTAAAACGCATACCCATGGTCGAAAATTGTTGAAATTGGATGATAACCAAAAACAAATCATTCGAAGAACTGTACATTTTTTTTTTTTTTTTCGAAAACAAAGCCCCAACACTTAAAGTTGTTCTTACGAAATTAAGAGAAAACGAAGAAATTCCATTAACGAGCCGTGAAACTTTACGAAAAATTTTATGGGGCCTAAAATGTCGTTTTGTCAAAAGGTGTAGGAAATCAATTTTAATTGAGAGGTCAGATATAGTGTCCTAGCGACGTCATTATTTACGAAATATTAAAGAGTTTAGAGCCGCTAAAAAAAGATATACTATCTCGATGAAACGTGGGTAAATGCTGGACACACGGTATCTAAGATATGGCAAGATACTTCTGTAACTAGTCATCGCCAAGTTTTTATAGAGGGATTATCAACAGGTTTGAAAGCACCATCAGGTAAAGGACAGCGCCTTATTGTTACCCATATCGGAAGTGACAGTGGATTTTTGGAAAATAGCGCTCGTGTTTATAACGAAAAAAACAGGTGACTACCATGAGGACATGAATGCGGAATGCTTTGAAAAACGGTTTACTTTAGTATTACAGCGTGTAGAACGAAATTCAGTTATTGTACTACATAACGCTTCTTATCACAGTCGACGAGTTGAACGCATTCCGATAATGTCCAGTAGGAAAGCGGATATGCAAACCTAGCTGCGGGATAAAGCAATAACATTTTCTGAGGAGATGCTTAAAGTGGAATTAATGGACCTAATAAAGGAACACCGCCATAAATATATTCAATGTTGTTGACACAATGGCTCGTGATCGTGGTATTACGGTACTAAGACTTCCCCCTTATCACTGCGAATTCAATCCTATTGAACTAATTTGGGCGCAAGTGAAAGGGTTTGTAGTAGAGAAAATAAAACTTTTAAAATAGCAGACGTTCAAAGTTTATTAAAAACCGGTATAGAACATATAAATCCTGAAGATTGGCAGAATGCTATTTCCCATGTAATTAACAAAGAAAATAATATGTGGCGCTTGAACGGTATGATCTAAACGGTAGTTGAACCTTTAGTCATAACTTTAAGTTCCGACGATAAAGACGATTCCAGTGGTAGTTCTGCAGAATCAATGGATTACGAAACTTCATAGATTTAGAATTCAAGTAAGTGATACCAAGTTTAATTTACATATTTTTATAATAAACAAAATACAATTATAAACATAGATGAATTATTATAACAAAAATAGATAACCAACCTACTATCATCTAGTAATATTCACAAATACCCATTTAATTTGCCAATATAGTAATTCTGCGACACTGAAAGAGTGCATTTTGATATGATAACGATACCTTTTGCTGTTTTAAGGCGCACCTTCTTCAATATTTTGTTCGAGTATAATACCACATTTAATTTTCCAATAGTGTTTCTACGCCACTGGCATATTTTAACAATAAACAAAACAAAATTATAAACATAAATGATTATTACTACAAAAATAGATAACCAACCTACTTTCATATTATTTACTATTACCACATTTAATTTGCCAATAGTTTTTATACGTCACTGGCGTAATCCATTTTGGCAATAAATGTGCATTTATGACTAGTTGGAACGTGATACCGATAACTTCTGCGGTTTTAAGCGCGAGATTCCATTCATTATGCTCTGGTATAGTATGATTGTTGTACGTGAATAGGGAGGAATCACCTTCTTCAATATTTTGTCAGAGTATAGTGATGTCATTATGATTTTACTGACAATTAAAGTGACAGTAGATTTTTTGAGTGAGTTTTGTTTACCTAAATTATATCGTTTTTCACTTTTATAAATGTATTCCTAAAGTAAATAACATGCATCAAATATACAATCGTTTAATTACCAATTACATACCTTTAAATTATTTTTTTATGAACTACAATGGCAGTATCATCTGCAAATGTAGCTATTGTGTCTTGTTCTACTTGGGGTATGTCACAAGTATATAACAGATACAAAGTGGGTCCCAAGACGCTTCCCTGTGGTACTAGTCCAAAAATTACTTTTCATGAAAAGTCCCATCACTATTTTGTACAGTTGTATTTCAAATCCTATACAGGGTGTTTGGAAGGTCGATGCAAAGTCTTGGAGAGGTGATAGGGAGGTCATTTAGACCTAATTAAGCCAAAAATACCTTAGTACAAAGTCTAACGGTTTGAGAAGAAAAATTATCAAAAATTTATTTGTAATTTTCTTTAAAAAAATGCATTTTTCACATTTTTCTCCTTTTATTTCTAAAATAAAATATGACTGTTTTTTTTTAATAGCAGAACGTTTGTCTTTTCTGAAAGTGTAAAGAAAAGAAAACCACACTGACTACAAAAAAATAATAAATAAATTTTTGGTAATTTTTTTTTCTCTTAAAAAAATCCAAAATGTTCGAAAACTCGAAAACCGTACTTTTTTATGTGACCATTGTATGTACTGTAATGCGAGCCATTTCAATATTCAGTCATGCTCTAATCCTCCAAGTCCCTCTCTGTCTTATTTGGCCTTTGAGGCTCAACTTGTCCGATTTTCATACATAATTAAACCCCTTAAGACCAAACATATGTGACGACTATGGCAAAGGCTCTTTCGAGTACATTCCAGATTGAATGTGGTGTTACTAGTGTTGGTGAGAACATTCTAGAACCTTCACCAAATTTTTAAATGTGGATATAAATATTGGTGGAGAAACACGGAGCAGTCAGTCGTATACAAACAGTTGTGAAGATAAATAGTGAACAATTTAAAGACATTCGAAATATATAAATTAGAATAGTACCGATTGTAAATAAATGTGTTCAAATAAATTATTAACAAATAAACTGTTGTTTAAAATAAACAAACAGTACCTTTTAATAACCCTGTTTAATATTTAAGATCCAACTGCAATACTTAAATGGTTAAACAATTTTTTTCATTTTCATTTTTTTTTGTTCACACTATAAAATTTAAAATGTTGCGAAAGCAATTTTTTAAAACAAATCTTTTACATTTTTTCTGTGTTTTTTTAACAAAAAACATTGCTGTAACTACATAGTCAATGACTAAATAGATGATTTACCCAGTATACAGATAATCGGATTCAGCATCAAAGTAGCACGAAATTAATTAAGTCCAATCTAACAACTATTTGAAAAATCGGTAAAATATTTTACCCAGAACTTCCCGCGATATAGAAATTATAAAAACAGGGAACTCCTAAGCACTTAAATTTTAATAAATTAAAACCACCGAACCAAAAACCCTTTTTTACATTTCTCTCTCCATTGATCTTCTTCTTGATCCCACCGGAATTCTCACTTTGTGTCCACTCGGTATTCTTCGTCACGATCACTGTTATTGAACAATAATGATTGGATGCTTTTAAAATGGTCTAGTTGCACAAACCAAAAGGACAATTTTTATTATTTACACAAAGGGGGACCTTTTTTGTTTAAATACGATTCATTTGAGCGCCATTTTACATTTTTAAAAACTTATTTAGGATCTATTTGGCTTCTAACATTCACAGATATCAATTTTAGTCGAAATCTGCCAACTTTTAAAAATAATTTTTATTTTAAAAACTGCTCACCTTGTATTTAACTGATAGTAAGTATAACTGAAAGCAACCTTATCTCCATACAAAATTTAAAGTTTTTCTATAAAGCCGTTTTTGAGCTATCGCGCCAACAGACAGACATAATGGGGAAACATGTTCTTCGTAATCTAGGAACCCTAAAACGTGAAAATCTAAAATAACCTCAGGTGACTTTATCGCGATTACAATACTTCCCTTTTATAGAGGGAAGTAAAAAAGATAAAAACATTTTAACTCGCTTTAAAAGTATTCTATAACGTATTGGAAAAAAAGTATCATCCAGACACCATAGTACATTTTTAGGTAGAAGTATCCAGTACTCGAAGACTTCTCTTGTATCTGAACAAACTCTGGTAGGTAGTAGGTAGGTATTTTATGTGAATCAATAAATAAAACAACTATCAGAAAAAAATCTATACTTTGACAAGAAATGATTTTACAAATTCATAAACTATTGCAGGACATCCCGTACATTCATCTCCAATCGCATCAACACATTCGCTAAACTCAGACCCACAAAAAAACCAAGCTCCTATATATTTTTTTTTAAATTGCCATTAGTATAGTATGTTAACTGAACAAATACGCAAAGAAAGCAAAGTTTGCATCACATTCTTACTTTCTCTGTCCAGGGAATCCCCTGCCATTCTTAGAGTGACAAGAAATAACCGCGCAGGGCCTATCAGACAGTCGGGCCAATTACTTTAGACAATAATTTTAACACTGCATCTTCCAGCATCGCTGCCAGACAATAATTCACTAAATTAGAGGCTATTATATGTACATTCCAGAGAATTCTACTTTTAAAAATGATTTTATAAAATAGTGTGATCAAAGTTCAGAAGAATCAATGTCTTACAGTATCAATCAGTTCAAAAAAATAAGATTCTATTCGTTAGCAAACTGTCATTTAAAAAAATCGTTTTTCCAAACATACCTACATGAACTTTTTAAAAGTTCTTCATTATTTTTTCCTATCATCTCTCGTTCTGCTGGAACATGCAGTATGTATACAATGCGGTTCAAAAAATCACAACAGACCACCTGTAATGTTATTTAAATCTTATTTATTATTGAAATGTCTCGGAGCGTCACTTATACAGGGGACGAAATACAAAATAGGAAAGTTTAGAGCATGCTACATCGATTTTAAATCAAAATAAAATTTATTAGTGTTGCAAAATTTTGGACCACACTTTATAAAAAGACAACATAAAACAGCTAATTAACAAATAAGTTTTGACACATACTGTACTATATACAATGGATACTCAAAAATTTTAAATAGTACGAATTCTTTAGCATTAACTTTATGTACTGGGCGAGATGTTTAGAAAATATAGTCATACTTTTTTTTCTGCCAACGTTTGCGCCTATAAATAGGTTTATTTGTACAATTATTCTGTCAAAGATGATAAGACAGTATGGATTTAAATTCCCGACCCAGTATATTGATGTTAAAGTTCTAAACGATTGCACAAATTAACTTCCAAAAAGTACGATTGCGGGTTTAAAGGCATTGGCCCATTATAGGTCTACAGGATACATTTCATAACATTACAAGTTGCACAATTTGGTAACTTTAGTCTTGTTTCAGAAATCCTCCTTGTAGCCATTGTACTCCAGTTTGCTGTGTTTAAATTTGACATAAATGAATTCAGCAGGAAGCCACTTTAAACCAAATTCGAATTTGTTTTAATGTGGAAACCCGGTGATTTTACCCAAGACTTAATATAGAAAAAAACACGCCAATAAACTGGAGTTTAATTCAATTTTTCAACGAAATCTCTGTCATAACACATGGTGATTAACGTTAAAGATACAATATAAATGTCAAAAATTGTTTGAGATTAGCGGCGTAGTAGGTTTTAAGGAAAAGGTTTTGGAAAACATGAGATTTCGGAATAAATTAATAAAAAATTGTACAAGAAACCCTTTTTCCAGTATAACCTACTACGCTCGCCACGCTTCAGACTAGTTTGATAGCCAAAAGAAAATGATTCTTTCTGTTTGGCCTTTTTAAAAAAACATTTTTTTTAAAAAAGTACCGGACCAAAAATTTTTTAGTTTCCTTATTTCCTATACTCTACATTAATTTAATATATTATATATAACAATACTATTTGGGTGTGACAATAGTTCACATTCGCACAACACTTCAGTACTCAAGCAACATTAAAATTATTAAATTGGATTTAGTTATTACGACAATTTAAAGTAAACACCACAGTAATGCTTTCTTATCATATAATTAAACGTAATGCACACTTATTGCGAATACATGACACAATAAAAATTTAATTCGTAGCGATATTAAAAATAACGCGACTTTCTACAGCTGATTCATTGAAAAAATGAAAACTAATATCACACCCAGTAATATGAAAAGTCCAGTTTTCAGTTTGCACTGTTTTAAAAAATCCATCGATCTTCACCAATGGCGCACTATGCTAAGTGTTACACACACTGTTGGACACATATTTTTCACGGTATAATTTTTTTTGGAGTTTTCTTCAGCTTTTCTAGAAAAGACCCGTGGACTAAATAACAGCCCGTTCTGTTACTGTGTTCCATGTGATTTCTATAAAAGATTATATCGCGGCACATCAAAAATTTTTGCTGTAACAAAAATATACTCTTCGAAAGAGTCACCATGGACTTTTTATCAGTTTTGCATCATAACAGAACTGACTATGATCGGCGGTGGTATGGCGGACAGATCACATTTCGACGATTTCAAAAATTGGTCCCGGCGGCTGCATGATTGGCTGGAAGTAGGCCGACGGGGCACCTTCTGCGATAAAACACCTCCAAAATATGTAGTACTAGACCAAGTTGTACTCGCGAAGATTCGACTGCAAAATTGTGTCTTTTACTGCCGCGAATACGAATTTGATGTTCTCCGTATCTGTCGAAAAATAATTCATCAAATCACTTTGCATGCAACATCGTTTAAATGCAAAACCGATTTTGGGATTATAATCTCTTTACCAATAGTTTTGCATCGTACTTCTTAACATTACTTTAAATCATTTATTTAGTCTGTAGTCAGCCCTGTACAGTTTCAAATATTTAGAACCAACCGGTATGGTGGGGCTTCTTCATATTATGAACAATATCCTAAAAGAACCAACTTAACAAGCTCTTTCTAATTTTACAGAAAAAATATATTAAAATATTTCATTGGGAAAGGGAAATCTTTTAACCCTATTAGAGGTCACCCAGAGGATCACAAAAAACCCATAAAGTATGGGTCTTGCGACCTTTATAACAGAGTTTTTTAAAGTTGGTCCATTTTTTTCCATGCTACATAACTTTTGAATTAATCAGTATATTTTTTTTGATATTTGTCATAGATAATCTACACATATAGGATAACTTATCGATGCAATAAAAAATTTCAAAATACAGGTACGGCTTAACAAAATTTATTTAAATTTAACTCATCCTAAAACATCAAATTTTTAAAAATTGAATTTCAAATTTCGAAAGGGCATAAAAAACATTCATCAACTTTTTATTTTTCTGCATGTCGTTTTACTACCAAAATTAACGTTAACATGTACACTATGAGAATTTTAGTTTATGAATAAAATGTAGTTAAAGAGATTTTTTTTTGTGTCATCGGCATCAACTGCTACGGTTATTAGCCTCGTGTTCTGTGTAGGCTTTGTTACTGTTTCCCAACGCCACTTTAGGAACAGCACTGTTAATTAGTACCCAACAGTGAATGGTCGAGTGGGGAATCCTACCAAGGCATCAGAATTCATTTTAAATAATTAAATTAAATGAAAAAATCCCGGCCAACGGTGGGATTCGAACCTGGGACCCTTGGATCCGCAGGCAGAGACTCTACCACTGAGCCACCCAACCCGTCGTTAAAGAGGTTTTAATTATTTTTCTTCATTAACATTAATTTTACCCAACTTTTTCATCGAAATTCTTAAAATAAACTTGTAGAACTTGAAGTAACATTCACAAAAACCAATAAAAATTATAATTACAGATCCGTACTCAAGAAAATTTAAATGATTCATATTCATTTAATAACTAATCATTAATTATTTAATTTTTACATGAAAAAATTGAAGATTCCTACATTAGGCATCTCCATCCATTCAATAGGCCTAATCTATACAAACTTGAAAATTATTAAAAACAATAAAAATTAAATATTGCTGTTATGACTTGGTACTAATTACAACTATAACTATGAAATTGAGATATCTAGGTTGTTTGTGTCATTTCTAATGTAATTATTTGGTTTTTATCAATAAGTGTAACATCTTTTCGAATTGCATTAGTTTATTTTGTGTTGTTCTAAGATTTAAAAAATGCCACATCAATATTTTAATGAAGACTACTGCGACATGGTATTTGTTTATGGTTTTTGCTTCATCTACAAAAATTGAATACGAAAGAAGATTTCCTGATCGAAGAACTCTTGATCAAAAAACTTTTATTCATATTTTTAATTATTTAAGTAAATGAGGTAGTTCCAAAATATCACAAGTATTGAATTTTGAAGGTCAAATGCTGGAGTGGCCTTCTAATATTCTAAACGGTTTTGCAAATCTTTTTAAACAATCCTATACTATTTTTTCCCCTTTTCAACCCAATTCCGGGACATATAATATTAATCAATTTTCAAATATTACAAGCTTCAGTGAAAAGGAAATATATGAGGCACTAAAATCACTTAAGCCAAAAAAGACCACCAGATCAGACGATATTTCAGCTTTTGTCCTAAAAGATTGTGCTTCTATACTTGCTCATCCTTTCTCCATACTAATTAATATTTGTTTAAAATCGGCTACAATACCAGACATCTGGAAATCGTCAAAGGTCTGTCCATTTTCAAGAAAGGGGATAGACGAGATATTTCAAATTATCGACATTTTTATTATATGCAACTTTGCAAAGGTTTTTGAAAACCTGCTAGAGCGAGTTATATGTCATCATGTAAGTTGTAATATAAGTATAAATCAACATGGTTTCGTGAAAAGTCGTTCAACAGTCACCAACCTTCTGACCGTTACACAATATATTGCCGAATCTATTGACAACAGAGCCCAAACTGATGTTATTTACACATACTTTTCTAGGGCATTTGACAGACTTGATTCTGCTCAACAAACTTGTAGCTTATGGATTATCTCCCTCTTTAATTTCACTGTTTCAATCCTATCTATGGGATCAAATGCAATATGTCCAGCTCAAAAGCTTTATGTCTGGTGTTCCACAAGGGTCGAATCTGGAACCCCTCCTTTTCATTATGTTCATTAATTATATTGCAGATGTTATAAATGTACATTTTAACGTTAATATTTTGGTAGTAAAATAGCAAGCGGTTTTTTAAGCTCTTTCCACATTTGAATTTGTTTTTAAAAATTTGATGTATACGATGGGTCAAATTTTAATAATTTTTGTAAAGCCGGATTTTAACTTTTTTTAATGTCAATAAATTATCCTATAGGTGTATATTATCTATGCCAAATATCAAAAAAAAAATATACCGAGTAATTCAAAAGTTATGGAGCAAGGAAGAAATGGGCCAAATTCAAAAAACACCCTGTAACTCGGTTATAAAGGTCGCAAGACCCATACCTATATGAGTTTTTTGTGATCCCCTGGGTGACCTCTATATAGGGTTAAAATATTTCCCTTTCCCAATGAAACACCCTGTATAGGAATAAAATATATAAAAATAAAAATATATAAAAATAAAAATATATAAATATATACAAAAATTATATCTGTAATGTACGTTTGTTACCCATCTTCCTACAGTGTGCTGCAGTCGTCTTAAGTAAAGGTGTGAGTAAAATAAAAAGCTAATATTCGAGATGTGTTTAGAAATATCATTCTATGTCATGAAACATCTGAACAGTTCGAGAAGGTTCTATCGAGCTATATAAGTCGATACTCCTGATGTCAGAGAGGCAGTTTTATGATAGACATTATACGTTCATGTTTTCAGTTATACAGTTGAACTGTAAAGTTTAGTTGAAATAAATTGAATTACCAAAAACCTGCTTAACAATATATTTAAAAGTGGATAACTCTGTGTCCAACAGACAAAGTAATGATTTATATTTCGAAGATAAAAACGAATATTTTCCACAAAATCAGTTTTGCATTATAAATAACATGAATATTTTGTGTTAATGCAATTTTTAAGCAACATAAAACTTGAAATATGTAACTAACTACAAAAAAAAATTGTAAAATATGAATTACAAAAATAAAAATGACTCTTTTTGCTGAAAAACTTATTACCTTTTTAAGCTAAGTTGAATTCTTTAAGAGCTGTCTGCATTATAGTATCTTTGACAGCGCAAAATACTAGTTTAATGTTTTCAGTATCTAAACAATTTTAAGAAAATATCCATTCCGTAGATGCATGCATGAAATAATTAAAATATTTAAATAAATAACACATAAAAATATCTAAATTCTAGGAAGCAAGCTGCAAATAATAAAAGTATCAAAGTATGACCACATAAACAAGTTTGAATTAATTAATTAGTTCCTAAATAATAGTTTCATAAATATTGTGGTTACAATTTGTTACTTTTACGGCTTATACTAGTTTCTAGCAATACCTGTGGCACAAGTAAAATGTGAGTATATGATTTTTTCACTGTCTGGATTGAGGTCTACAAACATTCTTAGGATGAACTCTCTAGCTGCAATCGCATCTCGTTGTGGACCTAGATAAAGTTGTTATAAGCATGTTTTCTAGCAATACATACAATAAATACATTATTTGCATAATATTTAATCATTTCAATAGAAATGATTACTCAGATGTTACATCATATCAACAAGTACTACATATTTTATTTATGAGAAATAGAACTGGAATTTTTTTTTATTATATGAAGATAGTTTTTAGTGATAATAAAAATTATTACCGAGCAATACTTCTTCTTGTATTCTACAATTAAAGCATAATCAATCTACTCTACTTGTTTTTTAAATTTGCTTCATAAATTATAAATAATAAATCGTTTTTTATATTTTCAGAAAACATACAAGAAATAGTTTAACCTATTTCCAGCACTTAATTAGGGAAAATATACGCAGAAAGCATTTTTCAGCAGATATACGAAATAAGAATTCAAGATAAAATTTGTAGAATACATGAATTATTTGTCAAGTATTTTTTGTGTTTAACCAAACGACTCAACTATCTCAAACTTCAGACGAAGTATGGAATCTTTTTGAGAATTATTTTATTGATTCAGGTGTGTATTTGCCCAAGTTGGACTATACAGGTGCATTTATCTGGTTCTGGGAGTCGCTCTTTAAACATTAAAAAAGGGGAAAATGAAATGGAAAGATAAAACGGTCATGCAATAAAAAAGCACAGAATTTTGGATTACTAACAAACCAATTGTTTAAGGTTTTTGTAAATAAGATGATGAAGACAATAATTATATTTTGTAAAAAGAGGTTAAAATGTTCAAACACAAATGAGAAAACATTACTGCACTTTGCAGAGGAACCAAAAGATACTGAAGAATACAATATTTTTGAATATCTCAAAATTAACAGAGATACATGTTATCCAATTGTTGAAATTTTCGAGAAATGCATGTCTTTCTTTTAAAATGAATTCATAAAAAAATGTTCATATTAAGGCCGTCTGTAGAACATTGTTATTATCTTTAAAAAAATGATAATTTTTTATTATAAGGCAGTTATTTTCTATAGGCGTGCCTTTTAAATTAATTAAAAAAATAATCCTACTACAGTCAAATACCACAATTGTAGAGAGTGACTCACATTTTTAACATGGACCTTTGCGGGTCTGAGGGGAAAGGAAATCGACGAGTCATAGGCGTGCGGTTATTATTAAAAATGATCTTCAGCATTTTAGAACAAATTGGTTGTCACAAAAATTATTTTTCTATTTTAAAGATGCACAAGGTGAGGAAAACCAGCAATAATAATGATCGAATAAGTATATATAAATTTAAATGTATAAACGAACCCTGTCTCAGTGAAGTTGGCCCAACTGCCAAAACAATGTTTTTTAAAGAAATTTGCCATATTAATGAAAAACCGTATTAAAAACTATAATATTTCTGATAACATAGGATATGTTTATTTAATTTTAGCCTAATATACAATTTTTTTTTGTAACAGAAAAAAATCAGATATATTAAAAAAACTATATTAAAAAAAAATTACGAAACCAAATAACAGCAAATTACCACTGCGTTACATCGTCTTTTCGACTGATTACTGATTCGATACACCTTGACATAGTGTCATTTAATGTTTAGTAGTCATCTGCTGTAAAACTGTTCCAATTTCTTGAAGACGGGTTCGCAATTCTAGAAGTTCTTGCGGGATTTGTCTTGTCTTTTTTTTCTTCATATGCCACAATGTTTCAATAGGCGATAGATCTGGGATACTGAACGTCCATTTTAAAAGTAGAATATTGTTTTCTAACATCAAAATCTCTTGCTTTTGTTAGCCGTGTGACACGCATTTTTTCAATTTTGGGTTTTAAGTTATTATAAAGCCCATTAATGTATTCATAATATCTTCCACAACGTGTGAGTTCCCACTCCTTTAGCTGACATGGCTCCCCAAATCATAACAGAAGCCAGAAACTTAATTTTCTTTCTAAGACAGTCATTCTGAAACATTTCTTCTTTTGTTCTTATAACACGACTCCTACTATCAACAATGCATACTTTAAATCTGGCTTTCAAATTATGGAGTTCTATTGGTGCGGAGACCATAACTGATGTTCCTTTGCCCACGCTAGTCTATTTGTCTTCTGAATCTTTGTCAGTAAGAGCTCCTTGTTTGCCGACGAAATATTGAATCAAAAACAAACAAAAAGCAAAAATTATTCAAGCATACCTTGCAAGTTTTAAATCTCAGTTTTTTTGGCAGCTCTGTGACAAATTGCTTGGAAAATGTTTTTCCCGTTGCCTGATTTCATAATATTCTCAATTTGTTATAATTAGCACTTCGATTTTGCTTGATAATCCTTTTTAAAGCTCTTAAGTTGGCATTGGAATATTGCTGATAATTTCCAGTTCTCGGTGTTTGAGCCACATATCCAGTTGTTTTGTAAAGTTTAATAATATTTCGAACTGTATATCTCGATTTATTAACATTGTCAGCGATTTGGGAAGAATTTTGGCCCTTCAAATGCAAGTGAATTATCACTTTATTTATTTCGTCAGAAACAGCTTTAAGATGAGCCATTTTTAGTTGTTAACAACAACACCAATGTACAATAGTTAATTACAACGTCAAAATTGGCTTCTTAGCAACGCAATATTATCATTTGTATTAGAAAGCCTGCCTCCATTTTATTGAAGACGATAAACAGACTATTCAACTTAAGTTGTTTCCATCATGTATACACAGATGTCTGCACAACGAAATGAACTCAAATATTCACCTTGTTACCAACAATGAAACCCATACCTATGATCTGCGTAACAGGAATGATCTGAGAGCAGTATCAATGAAAACATCAATGGGACAGAGAAGCCTAACAAGTAATGGTATCAATGCATACAACAAGATTCCAGATCTTTCTGGAATCTTACTCGAGGTCTACAAACAACTTCCTTTGCGACACAATTAAAAAAATTAATATTTGCAGGTTTCTTTAAGGTTAACTAATTAATAAATGTTTAAAGTTAAATTCTTAATAACTTAGTTCTTTTAGATATCTTGTAATTCTTCTTCTTCTTCCTACATGTTAATAATTTTTTTATAATTCTATTTTTGTCGTTTTCTATATTTCTAAATAATTTATGTTGGCCTGGAGAGTTCATATAGCGTAAGCTCGAGCTCAATTACGTACACTGTGATTATTAATATTGTGATGTTTCTCATTTGCATATGTATTTTCTTACTTGGAATAAATAAATAAATAAGTTGTCTCCATCATGTATTTTGCCAAACACAAATCACTTTTCAAATAAAACAATTTCGAAATAACAACTCTTTAAAAATAGCCACGCTGGTCTTATTATATTTCCATAAACATTTAAACAAACCAAAAATATTATATTTTAAACTTCACTGAGACAGGGCTCGTATATTTTTTATATATCCCTGTTATAAACTGTAATAGTCTTTTGAGATGATAGTAATAGTAATATTAGTTCAACATCTAATACATATTTGACATATTTATCTTTTTGACACCGCGCTAAGTTTAGTAACTCTATTTCTAAAATTGGTTCATTGAATTTAATATTTTTCTTAGAAAGCTAATCTGCAATCTGGACTTTTCTTCATTTGGTGGTTGGTAACTGTTCTACACGCCGGCTGTGGTATGAAGCGTTTTCCATAACAATAACACATCCTGGTTCGATTTAAAAAAAAAATCTGAAAACCATTTTTCATAATGTTCTGCATCCATTTCCATGATATCTCCAGTCTTTTTAGAAACAAATGCGCTTAAACCTTCTTCAACAAATCCTGAGTCGCTACCAATATGAGGCGTTTTCCTTTTCCAAATGGGTCTTTTAAACATGTCGATAAACCATCTACAAAAGCTTGATGTTTGTTTTTTACATTTAAATCCTGCCAAATTTTTGTCACAGTATGTCCTTCATTTAACCAGGTTTCATCTGTATAATATATTATTCTGCCATCTCTTCGAAAACTCTGCTATTGTTTTCAGATATTTTCTGCGCCATAAAATGATTTTCTCTTTTTCAATAAGGGTACTATTCATTCTTCTCTTTAAATACCTGAAGTTCATTTCACGCAAAGTACGTAATAAAGCACGTCTTGATATTTTTGGGAGATTTTCATTGGATTGAAGAGAAGAAGCAATTTTCCTTACAGTAATTCCTTTTTAATATAAAATGCACGTACTGCATGACGAATGACTTGTTTGGTTATATCTTCCAATTTTATTTTTTTTTTTCTTTAGTCTCAGCCTTCGAAGTATTAATATCGTTTGTTTCATCCCTTGTTTATAAACGTAAAAGAGCCTTCCACTAATATTAGAGAGATCGCGCTATACTTAACCTCTCTATTACAAACAAATCCCTATCAGCGCGCCTATGAAACTGCTTCGACAATAACATCCAAAAAAATGTCAAATGCTTTGTTGCCAATAACTTCGCTTTAATCTGCGACGACAGTGTGGATCTCGGACATTATCTACCGTTAGATAAAGATGCAAACTAAACACTGACAACGTTCCATTATACCTAGAATTTTTAATCGCTTGGAAGACGTTTGAACAGTTTAAAAATAGACCAGTCAAATTTTTAAAATTATTTCAACAAAATGATATCTGTTCTGGAGGTAAATAATAAACAAATGAATTAGTTATTCAAAAATTTTATAAAGATAGCGATCTTTTCAATTTTTTGAAACTATCTGAATGTATAGTCTTTGAAGAGTGAGTAAAAGAAAAAGGTTTTAGTAGAAGAAGGTTTTTGTAAATTTGTAAGAGATTAAATAAATTTTGTAATACCCCACTAATTTGTTTATTAATTAATACTGAATATTTCTCCTTTTGTCAGTATTCAAAAAATCAACAACTATTAAAAATAACTTTTTTTGTACAGGGTAAACGTCTAATTTGATTGGCCTATAAAATGTCTTTACAACAAGAGTCACTATCTACAATTGTGGTATTCTACTATAGGTATGATTTAAAAGTTAACGAATTTTACGAAAATTCTTTTATTGAAAGGGTACATTTTTAAGTGTACCTTAAAAATAATTTTTTCTCGACCTTATTGTGAATTTAATGTTTAAGTTAAAAAAGAAAATTATCAAAACACTTTGACAAGAATATTATATTACTTATATGATTATTTTGATTGAAATAACTTCTTTCATCACCATGATATGGGACACCCTATATAGTATACAATAGTATCGTAGCTAAATAAGCCGAATTAAGTAGCTAGTGATTTTAACATTCAACCATTGACCAAATTGTAAACATTTTTATAAATGACCATTAATTCAAAATCACTAGTAACTGTTTTCAAGTTCATCAATCGACCTATTCAAAACTAGCGAAACAACTTGTTAAAACTACTGAACCTGTAGCTGTTGTAAAGTGGGAATAGCATGATCGTTCTGGATCCGGATTTTCTTTTAGATAACCCTTGCAAATGTATTCTCTGGCAGCTATATGGTCTTGTTTCGGACCTTCATAAGCACAAAAATGTGTTTTTAAAATATTGATTACTTATTTGATCCAATATTATTTGAACAAAGTTTTTTTTTTTAAATAATATAACGTATCCCTTATTTTAATATTGCTTACCTTCATATTCAGGAAAGTAGTCAACGAGATGTGAATACATTATTTTTTCTTCTAATAAATCTTTTTTATTTAAGAATAATATTACAGAAGAATGCTGGAACCACGGGTAGGTAATAATTGTTTTGAAAAGTGCCTTGGACTCTTCCATACGATTCTAAAAACAAATATTGTATGTGAATTACAGTATAAAATACTAATTATTTAAATAAAACGTATAATTTTATATCCTTTGTTATTTCCATAGTGGCTCTTACCTCATTTTCAGATTCAAATAAAATCTGGTCGTATTCACTTAAAGCTACTAAAAAGATGATGGAAGTAACGTTTTCGAAACAATGGATCCATTTTCTTCTTTCTGATCTCTGTCCTCCAACGTCTACCATCCTATTTTAACACAAAATACAAATAGATTACAAAAAATTCGCGTACAAGTACCGTCCATGTTGAATTTAGTATTTTTTACGGTATATTTGTGTGACGTAATTTGTTTTTCAATGACAGTTGACTTTCAACAAAAACAAACCGATCTGTCATTGAAATTGACATAGCTATACGTTTTTTGGCATTTTTTTATTAATATTGTTTGCAGGTTGCAAATAGATATGTAACCAAATTATTTTTAAAGTTTAAATGAAAAGTCTTGAAAATAATAGAAATGTCATTTGTCATCACTAATATTGTATATTTTTACTTAAACTGATTCAGAATTTAAATTCTCTATTTTAGTATTATTTCATAAAAACATTTGTATTAAATAGTAAATTCAACTTGTAGACTATGAACATTTTTCATGCAAGAAGTTGTATATGACTTCTAATTGTATTAGTTATACAATATTCCATTTTATTTGGATAATCCATTACTCATTGGTTGACTAAGGCCGGGACTATACATAGCGTTTTACCGGAAGCGTTTTAACGGGACAGGTAGAAAACATTGTTTTAAATGCGGCAGAACAGCAGGTGTATAAACGGCGCCTTTTAAAACAATGTGTTGTACCTGTCCCGTCAAACGGGTCCCGCTAAAACGTTATGTATAGTCCCGGACTAATAATTCTCTTGATACCAATAAACTAAAACATTCCAAAATCAGAACAACTTCATGTTTGTGTATATACCTAAATTTATCACAACTTATCGACTATACCACATTTTAAAGCAATTTCAGGCATTTTAAATGCTAGTGCAAAGCAAACATCATTTTGTGAATTTAAAAATTAAATATCAACATTTATGCATTCTTAAAAAAAAACATTTACGTCTTGATTTTACCTTCTTTAATAAATATTATAATTATTAAAATAATTGGTAAAATAAAAAAAAAGAAAAAGCTGATGTATTTATTACATCAATTTAGTATTCAAATAAATTAAATAGGGGAATAAAAATGCGTCAGTAATAAGAGGATTTATTCTGGCGTAAAACCAGACCAGAACTAAGGCAGTTTTTGAATATTATGTTTTTTACAATTGTTTCGTCATATTTCAAAATCTAATCGAGCTATTATTTTTTTTATACCACATGTCCCATGTAAAGCGGGCATTATACAACTTTATGGAGAATAAATTAATTTGCTTATACACAATCGAATATGCTCCTTTAAATTAAAATAAAATCTGTGCAACTTCCGCTTATACCGGAAGTGTCCACTAACTTCGTTATTTTAAATGGAATACCCTATTTTTTTTTATTTCAGATTTAGCATGAAATTCTGTCGTCTATCTCAGGTAGTATTTCTAGCAGATACTTGAAATTTTAGCAATTTGTAGTAGATGGAATGTATTTTCTAAAAATATGTACTTATACATCGTTTGTTGTATGGGGTGACTGAAAATTATTTTAAATTTTTTTTTTTATTTTAAATGAAACATCCTTTATATTTTTATCTGATTTTGTTCAGAAAATAGTCTGCATCTATCCATATTAGCATTGAATTCCCTATAAATATCTTTTATCAATTTAAAAAAAAAATTAAATTAAAATTTTACGCACAGACATAATATTATTAGTTGTAATTTAATTTAGATTTTTTATCTTAGTATGCCGTGGAAATGTACTAAATGACAATCTGTCACATTCTGTCGAACGAAGATAGGCGTCTCAACACGTGCCGTATTCGCTCCGTGCGCGACCGCAGCGCCAATTTGTTTTGGTATTAATGGACTATTTCTGTGTATACTGACAAATACAATTTTTAATAGAATTCGTAATTAAAAAGTATATATGTTAGTTTTAATAAAAGTATATGGATTTGTAAAACAAGTAAAACATTAATTTATTATTATTATATATTTTTAACGCTTAAATTAAAGAAAATTATGTATAATCAATGAAAATCAATAATAAAATATAGGCAGGCAACAGTATTTACTGGAAAATGTATGAGAAGTTGCCTAAGTCTAATAAGTTGTCATTGAAGAATTAGCATGTTCTGTCAAATAAAAAAATACCATTTAATAACAGCATGAAGTTAAAATGTATAAAAAAAAGGATCCCTATTTATATTTTCATTTTTGTTCGAAAGAAAACATAGAATGAATGATTAAAACTGGTTTCTTATCAGTAAGTCACAAAATTACATTCCATCCACATATAATAATCAAAGGCAGAAATCTTGAAATCTAGTCCTTGCTGAATGAACATTTAAGAATAAAGGGACATTAAAGAACATCGTAAAATGATAATTTATTGTTTATTTAAAACCTTTCAAGTTTCTGATGTTTACTATTTACAGCATTACTGTTATTATTACAAAAATAAAGGTAATTTTTCTTCTTATTGTACATCTATCCATTTATTTCTTTGATTTAATTTTCACTTTGCTACTGAAATTTTTTATATAAGTTTCACTGTTTTTTTGCTAGTATTTGTACAATTGTCAACACAGCAACTCCGGTTGCTTATTGTATTGTTTGTACCTACTTTTTTGAAAAAAAGTAAAATGTATACGTGTATTTGATATGCCAAAATTACAAAATATCGCACTAAAATGCACGAATTATCCGCAGCTAGCGCTAGTATCGCTTTTGCTTCCCTTTCCATGACTTCGCACGGAGCGAATTGGAAGATGAGAATCCCACTGCAGGGTTGCCATATCTAAAATGTCAGTTCTCACTTGTCAGACTTGCGTCTAAAGGACACCGCGACTGGCTTGTTGTACGCATGCGACGGTTTTAACTAGATAGTGATTTACGATTCCTAACCTAAAAAAATCTGCAAAAAAAGACTTTAAAGGTATTGTTTCTTGAAGTAAAATCAGGATTTATATAGGTATTTTGTGATTCGTGATGAAAAATATGGAAGCAGAATCCAAACAGTATGTATTCACAAAAACCATACTTGGTTATTGTTTCTAAAAATATGGCGCGCATATGCTCACGCATGCGTATAACACACAAGTCACGGTGTCCTTTAGACGCAAGTCACTTGTCAGAATTTTGACAGATCGTTGCAATGCTTAAATAACGTATTAGCAAAGTATTAGGGTATTTCACTGAGTATCCTCACGCCTCCATTAGAATGGCTCAAAATAATTTAAATATTAGCCGAGGGTCAATACAAAGAATTTTAGAACAAAATAAATGGCCTCTCTATGCACAAAGAAAAGTTCATGATTTGCGAGATGGTGATTAAATAAGAAGAACTGAATTATGCGAATTCAAAAAGATCCCCAAATTTTTAACAAAATGTTGTGGTCAGACGAGTTGGTCAGACGAAGCAAAATTTACCTGTAAAGGGATCATCAATGTCATTTCTTGGCAAACGAAAACCCACATTTTTATCGTGAAGCAGAATTTCAGTATGAATTTAGTTTTAAAGTGTTTTGGAAGGGCTTTCTATTACATTTATAATGAAAGACTGATCTCAGAAAGATTCATTAGAATTCTTAGAGAAGTAGTTGTCGACATTTTGAACCATCTACCAAATAATAATTTTTGGTACCAGTTGGATGGTACTCCAGCACATTCAATATTCGCTGTAAATCGAGAAATTAGAGAAGAACAGGTCCAAATGAAGGGGCTAGTCAATTTTTTAGCAAAGTTGAGATATTGACGTCACTCGAAAGAAAATACGTTAAATTTTGTTCTAAAAATATTGTCCACTGCTAGAACACGCTAAGTAAAGAGATATTAAATACGAAAAATATCCCGTACAGGGGAATAACGTGATACGTACGTGCGGTACCAAGCAAAGTCGGACTAAGTCGCAATTTACGCAATCTCTTCGGTAGAGCTGTGGTTTAATCGTTTTTATACTACCAGTCAATCAGTGTTATTGATGTTTTTTATTGCCAAACATTATTAGGAACATTGTTCTACCATGGAAAGTGAGGGTGTGCAGATTAATAGATGACAATCAAAAACTGAAGGTACAAAGCCATGAAATTGGTGGGGATTGCGACTGCAAACGTTTACAGTACTCCAGAAAGATTCCTGTGGAGGGTAAGCAAAACATTATAAGGAGTTTCAATCTTTTAAGAGTCCACTGATATACAAAACTCCTATTTATGTGGACTCATTAGTGTTGTTCCAGTCAAAAATAGACGACCTCGGCTGGATGAAGAAAATGCTCGTTTAAAAGATGTAGCTTTTTATAAGATTAGATATTTATATGAAAATAATTTTATGGAATTAGAGGTGTGTCGAGATGAGTTTATAGCTTTCTGTCTTAAAGAGCATCTATCATCATTTAAAGGTAGAGGCAGTCATTATAGTACCAAAGACTTTAAGAAAAAATATTTGCCTCAAGAGCTCAACACAAAAAAATGTGGAAAATGTTTAAAAAGATGTTACCCGGCAACCAAGTATCATACGAAACCTACAGAACCAATTTCACCACAGATTTTATTATAGCTTTTGGTTACCCACGAACAGACACGTGCAGCACATGTGACAACTACCTAGCTAAAATGAATTGTCTGGAGCATGGAAACCAAAAAATAGATCAAACAAAGAAGGAAGACATAACAGCCGAAATAAAACAACTGACCACAACACATGACATGCATTTATGTAAAGTAAAATTATTTTATTCAATTAAAAAGCAATCAAAGCTTTCCAGTTGTAAATCAAACGTAAAAGAGTCAATATGTATCAGGGTTCGGAGGATATATATAAGTGATATATATCATGATATTTATATCTTGATATATATCCGATATATTCTATAATTTTATTTATTAAATTAAAAATGTTTTACACCATTCTGAACATCCGAAAATGTCTCAATACGCCCCTGTATAAAAGTATAATAACTAGCGATTAATATGTGTTTGTGTTAAATATTAATGTTAACAAAATAATGTTAAAATCTGTTAAATTTATAAATTATTTTTGTTTTTTCTTTTTAATTTGGGTTAGAATAAACGGTTTTGTTATTTAGAAT